TTCAGGACTCTTATCGACCACGTAAAGTTCGGTACAGATGTGAGCATGTACACTAAAGTTATAACAACTTCTATTTTCATGGAGAATCATCAATATTTGACTCCACACTGCGGACACGCCCTTAAGCGAAAACCCACAGATAGCACAACTTTTTATCTTCAGTGAATTTAGATTGCACAGCCAAAATTTTACATTGATCCAATTAATTCTGGAGGAGGAGTTCATTAAAGTACGGACCCTGTAAAGGCCATGAAAGGGCTAAAATTGCACATTCCGTCTGTGTAACAAATATATTGAGTAGACACTGACGGGCAACAGTGGATCTATTTCATTGTTTAGATGAAAATTATAATTAGGGACAGTTGAGTAGCTGCTGGATGTTGGTAGCAACATGTCTACGCCCTTGACTATGTAGAGGTGATATAAAAAAGCTAATGTAGAACTTTTGATTTTAGTCATTTAGTTACACTTAAGACAGATTTAGTTTGATAGTGGACAGTTACAGGACCTCTGACTGTTACAGAAAGGACTGGGTGTGAAAAGAAAATCTGTCGAACTCTGTTATCAGAAATGATTTAATAAAGAAATGATACAGTATTGCAGTGTATTATTTTCCTTATAGCCCACACAACACAGTTCACCCAGCCAGGATGGACCTACCTACAGACTGTTGGACATCTGGCACAAGGTGGAAGTTACGTGGCGCTGACTGATGGGAAAGGAAACCTCACTGTTGTCATAGAAACCATGGCAAGTTAGGCTTTCCTATTTACATTTTTAATAATGTTTTCATCTTCTGGTTCTGTAAATTGAAAAGAATATTTAAATATGAAAAATTGTTTTATAAAGAACTCTACTTTAAGGGAGATTAAATGAAGCTCAGCTGTTTGGTAACATAAACTAACAAAGCGGCAAAAACATTCATTACATTTACACTGCTTTTTTCAATATTGCCTTTACAGACTCATGATCAGTCAGTGTGCATAAGACCTCCACTCCCTCCTTTCAATGTGACATCCCAGAACGCAACTTTCCAGCTTCAGGGATCCTTTGTAAGTTTCTCTGTCTTCATCACACTGTTGAAAGTTGGTGAGTGATACTTTGTCTTATTCAGGGATATTTATTTTTCCTAGGCCTCCATCAAGGAACTCCAAGTATGGCGGTCACAGTTTAACGTCAATACAAAGAAGCCCTCCTTCTTCGAGAACATAACTCCACTGAAGGTGAAAGAGACGGTCCAAAAAGATAAACGAGGAAATATTCTTCCTACTAGAAATGTTGGCAAGTTTATCACGGCTTTATTGTTTTTACATGCTTATGATGACTTCAGCTTTTAGATGGATCATTCACCTTAAATCTGGCTGAAGATGAGGTTTACACATTAACAACAATTACAACGGGACAGAAAGGCTGTTACCCTGACCCACCTCCCTCTGCTCGCTTCCCTAACGTCTACAAGGACGACTTCAGGGTTGGTAAGTATAGCATACACACAATCTCTCTCTCTCTCTCTCTCTCTCTCTCTCTCTCTCTCTCTCTCTCTCTCTCTCTCTCTCTCTCTCTCTCTCTCTAACGGATTTAGTTTCATGTATGTATGTATGTATTCTTGTACTTCCCCAACATAAGGACAATCAGCCCCATACATTTCATTCAACAATTAAAGCGTAAAGTAATCAAAGTGTATGTGTGTTTGTGTTTAAAGAAAAAAAGAAAATAAATAAATAAAACAGTAAGCGTGTGTGTGTGTGTGTGTGTGTGTGTGTTAAAAAAATGAAAATATATTAAAATAAAATAAATAAATAAAACAGTAATTGTGTGTGTGTTTGTGTGTTAAATGATAAAAATATATTAAAAATAAATAAATACAGTAAGTGTTTGTGTGTGTGTTAAATGATAAAATATATTATAAAATAAATAAATAAAACAGTAAGTGTGTGTGTGTGTTTGTGTGTTAAATGATAAAAATATATTAAAAATAAATAAATAAAACAGTAAGTGTTTGTGTGTGTGTGTGTTAAATGATAAAATATATTATAAAATAAATAAAACAGTAAGTGTGTGTGTGTTTGTGTGTTAAATGATAAAAATATAAAATAAATAAATAAAACAGTAAGTGTTTGTGTGTGTGTGTTAAATGATAAAAATATATTATAAAATAAATAAATAAAACAGTAAGTGTGTGTGTTTGTGTGTTAAATGATAAAAATATTAAAAATAAATAAATAAAACAGTAAGTGTTTGTGTGTGTGTGTTAAATGATAAAAATACATTATAAAATAAATAAATAAAACAGTAAGTGTTTGTGTGTGTGTGTTAAATGATAAAATATATTATAAAATAAATAAATCTGTAAGTGTTTGTGTGTGTGTGTGTGTGTGTGTGTTAAATGATAAAATATATTAAAAATAAATAAATAAAACAGTAAGTGTTTGTGTGTGTGTGTGTGTTAAATGATAAAATATATTATAAAATAAATAAATAAAACAGTAAGCGTGTTGTGTGTGTGTGTTAAATGATAAAAATATATTATAAAATAAATAAATAAAACAGTAAGCGTGTTTGTGTGTGTGTTTAAAAAATAAAAATATATTAAAAATAAAATAAATAAATAAATAATAGTCTTCATCCATCTGTGTCTGACCTGTAGAAAACCCTCCTTTCTCGGAGGCTCCACACTTTGCTGACCAGACGGGGGTGTTTGAGTACTACATCAACCTCACTGACCCCGGGCCTCACATCTTCACCTTCAGACAGGTTCTGACTCAGAGACCTGTCACATGGGCGAGTGACGCTGACCAGACCATCAGTGTCATAGGAGACTATCAGTGGTGAGTTGATGGTACCTAAAAGTGTTCATTTTCAGCACTGGTGGCCCAGTGGGAGTATACCTTGGCAAATGTGCTAACTTAATTGTTGTTACGTTGCAGGCAGAACCTGACGGTTACATGTGATGTCTTCATGGAGACCATTGAGGCAGGTGGTGTGTTCATAGCAGCCAGGGTGGATAAAGGCGGCCAGTCAGTCCGCAGCGCTAAAGGAGTCTTCTTCTGGGTGTTTGCAGATGGCACATACAAAGTTACCAATGATCTCGGTCAGTAGTATTATCTTCTGCATCATTACACATTTTATTATGGAGAGCAGAAGATAAGAAACATCTCAAGGGAAAAGGTAGAGATATTACAGACCGACCTAAGTACAAGTTTGAATAGGTGTCATTGCTGTACCTTTTATTGATGTGTGTCTTTTCTTTTTGTCCACAGATGGAAAGACTGTACTTGCAGAGGGACAGTCTGGTACCCGAGCATATGGTTGGCACACCTTATCACTTACTGTGAAAGTAAGTGGAGAATTCTTATTTTGTTGTTGTGTTTGGAAAGTGTTTGAACTCACACTACTTTTAGTTCAACAGTGGGAAAGTGTCACTGTTGAATTTGTAGGAAAATAATCAATCTTTAAATTTATTTGTCAGTTTGGATCGAGTGCCACAGGTAGGGATTGAACACTAAGCAGTGGCAGCACACCAAAATAAAGCAGGATTATTCTGTGAGATTTTCTCCAGAATAGAGCTGAAACTAGTCTTCTATTAATCAGTCTATTAGGCGATCAAAGCTGCATCAATGTCAATAATCTATCATTTCTTTTAAAGCACATATACCAAAAAATATCTGAATATCACTGACAAAAACATGTGAATACTTGGGCTCCCATTTTCTAGATTAAGCAATTCACAGAGAACAATCTGCTAATGAACTGATAATAAAATGAATTGTTAATATTTAGTACTAAGTTCATGTAGAGAGTTTTGATTGATTGAACTTGTGTTGCTTATGTCTGGAGACTCAGGTCAGGTTTTACTGGATGCCTCACTCTGTAGGAAGTGAAAGGCCTCGTAGTGACTGGTTATTAATGTTGGTGTGATCACATGGTAACTGAACCTCTCAGCCAGATCTTTATGTTTTTTGTCCCACCCATGTGACTGACTGTCAGGACAGTCTATAAAGCGTCATACTGTAAACCCATTTCCTGCAACTTGTCACTGTGATCCCTCTCTCCTGTAGGGCCAGTATGCGTCAGGGCTGATGAATGGATACCTGCTGTGGAAGAATGCTGTGGTACTGACACCAAAGAATGGCTGGGCTGCTATAGGAACACGCTCATTTGAACTGGCACAGTTTGATAACTTCGCTGTAGTGGCAGAGTAATGATTTGACTGCAAAATAATGATTTGAGCTATGCTGGGAATATTGTGATTAATTTATTAACTTGATCAATGCATTGGTTTAACACTTCAGTGTGCTAAATAGAGATTCATTTTATTTTGTCTTTATAAAGATTTAACGCTCTTAAACAAGAATTAATAGAACAAGAAGGCACATAATCTAACGGAACAAACTGCAGCCTTGTATAATTGTAAATGATTTTGCACTGTTTTTTATGGAATAAAAACCTATAAAATTTTTATGTTTTTAATACTAAAATACTTTGTAATGTTTAAAATCATGTGTAGTATGAGAATACATTAAATAAATGATTTCAGAGTTCCTACTGTAAGTAACCATGATCTAGGCATTGGTATGAAAAGGTGGTTATGTATTGGTTTAAACTACTGTAATGCCACACTTGTTATTTTTTCAGTCCCCTCCAAAAGAATTGGAACAGTAAGGCAAATTCCTTTGTTTTTGTTGATCACTGAAGACATTTGGGTTTAAGATCAGAGTCATTAAGATGAGTATGAGACAAGAGTTCAGAATTTCAGCTTTCATTTCCTGGTATTCACAGTGTAGGATGGAGCATATGTTAACTGTGGACAGTGAAAAGGCCACGAGAGATTTAAGGGGCTCTAAACATTTTATTCTGAGATTTAAGTAACGTTAGGTCCGTAACTTACGTCCACATCCTACCAGACTGTGGCCAGGTGTTCTCTGTTAAAATGATAGATTGTGCTTTGCCTTTGTACAGTGTAGTGAGGTTACGTGGCGCCATCTGTAAACGTTTAATACGGTGTTTTCGGGTGTTTGTCCACCTCCCCCCCGCTTTTAAACGGTGATCTGTGTGCACTGCTCCTCCGCACTGCGCAGCGCAAACACTCACGCGACGCTGGCGCGAGAGGGCCATCTCTATGGCAACGGGACAGCAACACTTGCAAGCTGCTGCTGGGAGGCTAACATGGCGGAGAATCACAAACAGCCGCCTAAAAGAGTTTTTATCAACAACATAGACTCATATGCTTCTAAATGTATCGCCAAGGTAAATATATTTAATGTGGAATGTCTGAATTGAGCTAGTGAAGCTGGTAGCTAGCGTTAATGTGAGTTAATAGCAGTCATTGTTTCATGGTTTGTAACGTTAGTCATGAATTAGCGTGAAGATGCCACAGCAGGAAATCCACGTAGCACACACTGACGTTCGTCGACAACTTTGTTCAGCAACGAAAGTTAGTTATTTATCTTCTTTGCAGTTTTTGTCTGAATTTGTGGTCAGGACACCTGTTGATTCTGAAGGAGAAGAGGAGGAGAAGGTGATTTCAAACCCCAGCGGAGCAGGAGCTTTTCACGTTGTTGGAACTGTCTCCGACAAATTGGACGAGGACAGACCATATGTGCTGGAGGAGTATCTAGTAAGTACTCAATCTGACAAACTGTAAATGAACATTATTAATGTGTGGAAGCCTATAGGGGACTATATTAAAATCATAATATCATACCTGTCCACATATGCGTTATTTGAGTTTTAAAAAGGCAATAATCAAATTGTTTTAATTTCCATATGGGCATTCTATGACCATATTGAAATGAAAATGGTAAAGCTGTTCGACATTTAATTTTTTAACATTGTGCCCTGCTGTACAGTGGACAGGGTTCAAATGTTAATTTAAATGTCTACAATATTTACATTTATGCAACATTTATGCAAGGAATTTGTAAAATTTGTAAATTTGTAAATTTGTCAAAATGAAACTGCAGACCCTAACCTGCTGTACAGAGGGCAGTAATTGAATTCAATAAGCGAATCAGCGCCACCAGTCTTTTGCATGTCTTGTCTTTACATGTCACCACACTATTTTTGTGTCAAAATGAAATTGCAGTCTTTCAGTCTTCTCATCAAGGCGGGTCTTCAGTTAGGTCATCACTTCTTTCTCAGTGAATTGGTTCATTAACATTTACAATTTCTACCTACCGGCCATGGACAGCTTCATGTGCCGACCAGAAGTAGCAGTGTTTATCTGTCAGTGTGTGGGAAATAACTAAACTAAAACAAACAAAATCAATATGGGGTAAATTTTGCTACACTGACCTCTGCAGCTTCTCTTAGGAACAAAGCTACGAACTTTTCCAACATGCAATGACTGCAGAAGTCAGGTTCTGGTAGAAAGCCCATGGTTGATGTCATAATTGAAGACCCGCCTTTGATGAGAGGACTGACCAATGTGCAGGTTAAGTTTTTGAAAATGAAATGTCAAACGCCGTTTCCATATGAAGAGTGACTTTAATGTTGTTTGCACAAATACAACATTAGGCTACATTATTTATGCTGCATTTTAAATTCATATTTAAATGAACATTTGAATATTGTCAATTGTACAGCAGGGTTTGACTGTGAAAATTAAATGTCAGAGAAATGTCTGCCAGAGCTGCAGCATAACCAGGCTCAGCAGCCTCTATGGACCTAACATTAGCTAATAGCAGAGGCGAAGAGGTTGTTAACGGAGGAAGCTAAGACGAGAAAAACAGTGACCAAGATGAGAGCTTTGTGAAATAAAAGGCTGTACACAGCTGGACAAGTAAGTAATATTGTTATGTCTTGTGTTGTTGCACTTGCTTGATGTTTGACAGTTGGCAAAGTTGTTGACTTGCTAATTTTTTATTGTAATGTAATCATAGCAAATGCTTGTGTACAGCTATGACAGCGGTGGATTACACTCTGAAGCAGTAGGTTATCCAAAGCCAAGGCATTGGTATCGGGACTGAAAAAGTCGGATGGGTGCATCCATAATTTTAATGTAGTCCCCTAGAGGCTTCCATACAGGACTTTAGACATTTCTATTTCATTTCTTGTTTTTATGGAAGCACCTGAACAGGGATGAGCTACTGTCAAAACTGAAGGAGTGTGATGTTATCATCTACAACATTACCCAACATGCTGATCAGGTGGAAGAAGCCCTCTGGGCTGTTTCAGGTAAGCAGTTCTCAGTCTCTGTTCAGTGTTGATGGGTTTACTTTTCTTCAGACTGTTCACACTTAGTTGGTTTGTGCTTTTGAAGTATTCAACTGCATCTACAATATATAACTGGTTTGGTTCTTTCGGTCAGTGTCCGGTCAGATATTAATATTATCTGTCCTGTAGTGATTCATTGAGGTACCATTTGTCTTTCTCAGTGCCACTGCTATATCGCTTCATTATGTTATAATGTTGAATGTTAAATAGTTTCATATAATGAGGTAAACATATGTAAAAGTAATCCCTATGAGAAAAAGGCTGAGGCTTCAGACTGCTCTGAATGTTTTATAACGTTTGCTAGTTAGCTAAGTTAGCCTGGGCCTTAAAACCTCCTCCTTCCAGCTGCCCAAAGTTCCTGTGCTAGCAGTGTTTACAAACACCAACGAGCTCCGAGTCTGGCTTATTGCCTGTGTAAAAGAAGTGGACATAGTCACAGATACGTCACCCATTAGCTTGTGGACTACTGTTTTGAAGCCTCGAGTTTGGCATTTTGGCCGTCGTCATCTTTGTTTTTTGGAACCAGACGTAACCAGCCTGTTCAGTTGTACAGTGTTTTCAACTTTCTCTCTCCTACTGCTCCTGTGCACGAGTGTGATTCCGCCACCTGTTGCTGATTGGCTGGAACAGTGATGTGGAGATCGTACCGCACCACTTTCTTTGTGTTCCATTTACAGAGCCAGGGCTGCGTAAGAAAACCGGATTTTTTTCCCGAGCACACAAGATGGAGAGCAAGTGAACTTTGAGGAAATATTCGCTGAATTTAACAGGAAGAATATTGGATTACAATCGTTTAGTCTAGATATGGCTTGTTTCAGACAGGAAGAACTGAGAAGTTGCATGAAGCCAAGGGCCAGTAGAAGATAAATTAGGATTTTTTAAACAGTTACTGTTGTGGAGTCCCAAAATAAAAATATAATGATGAGCATAACAAGTCAATTTAAATTTGTAGTTTCTGCTACATACTATACTGGTTGTTTACATAGGCTGCATTAACCTCTTGACGCCTGAATTTATTTACAATTATATAAGAAAATGTATTACTTGTGCTTTCATTTGCTTTCAAGCTGATGCTTTAATTAATTATTAATTAAGTGGAGATTGTTAATTTGTCTATAGAACATAGAATAGATATAAATGATGTAGGTATGATGCATTAGTGACAACAGTCATAAACGAGAAACCTGCGCTTGCAAACGGTTCCTAGTTACATATTGAATATGCACAAACTGGCATTGGGGGAATCCATATGCTATTTCGGCTGCAGTCTGATAGGAAGAGGTGTGATACGAATTCACAACAATCAGCGTTAAGCGGTTAAGATCTTTTCTTGTGCCTTCATTACCAGTAATGCAATACCCATTACTCTTATTTTGTATTAGTCAATAATTTCACATTTAAAATACATCAAACTAAATTATATTAACAAGGAATATGTACAGTTGTGTATATACATACAAAAAATATATACAATATGTAATGTGAGTATTTTCAATTATGGAGCAAAATATAATACTTTGTTGTAGTGATATAGTATACATGAATATTTTCTCATAATGCTGCTCACAAATACAATATGTCCATTAATATCATTAATGAAACTTTTTAGCAGGGTTTTTGCACTGTTTCTGGCCTGTGACCCCATTTTTCATACTAATTGTCATGGCCTCAGCAATTAAAGAGGTTTCATGTTGTCAGTTAATTTGAGTCTTTAGTTATCAGGAACAAGGAATGGTCTCCTTGTGGGACTGTCCTTCTGTTCTCAGAATTGCTACTACAATGACTTCTAATATCACAGCAGTCGTCCTATAAACCACATCTGCGTCTAATATTGTACCATGTTGGGACCCAAGTCCAAGTTTGAGACACTGACCTAAGATGCCAAAAATAACCCCAAAACAATTGAAATTGTCCCAATAAAACAGACATATCTGGATATGGTCATTGTGATTTAAGTAGTATTTGTTATAGAGATGTTGTCTGCCAGTTCTTCTTGTGTTGTATTTGTAGCTCTCCACAATGAAATGAGTAATTTTTCTGGACCAAAGATGTTCATCCTCATCTCCACTGTGATGACCTGGGCGTGCAGCAAGCCAGTTAAGCATGTAAGTGCACACATACTGTATCTTTGGCTAGCCTAATATATTCTATTTTTGTGAACATGAATCCCTTTTTATTCCTCATTAAATGTTTAAAAATAATAACTGTCCATCACCAAATATTTTCTTTCGTCGACCCAGCCAACAACCCCAAATATGTTCAGTTTAAAATGATACAGTCTAAAACAGAATGCCAGCTGACTCCTCACACTATATATTATTGAAGTTTCAAGTGAATTGAAAATATATTTAGTTTTTTGTAATTAGTGATTTTGCGTGGGTTTCCTCCGCGTGCTCTGCTTTCCTCCCACAGTCCAAAGACAGGCAGGTTAGGTTAACTGGTGACTCCAAATTGTCCGTAAGTTTGAATGTGAGCATGAATGGTTGTCCTGATTGACTGGGTGTACCCTGCCACTCGCCCAATGTCCGCTGGGATCATCGTCAGCCCCCCGCTATCTATCGATAATGGAAGGATTGAACAATATGTTTAAGAGCCATACTATAGCCATACTTTAATAAACATACACCAGCTACTTTATTAGGTACACCTGTTCAGTTGTTTGCACACAATTAGCCAATCAGCCAATCACAGGGCAGCAACTCAATGCATTTATGTAGACGTGGTCAAGACAACTTACTGAAGTTCAAACCGAGCATGGTCGTTGGTGGCAGACGGGCTGGTCTTTCAGAAACTGCTGATCCACTGGAATTTTCACGCACAGCCATCTCTAGGGTTTACAGAGAATGGTTTAAAAAAGAGAAAATATTCAGTGAGCGGCAGCAGTGTGGACAAAAATGCCTTGTTGATGTCAGAGGAGAAGGGGCAGACCAGTTCGAGATGACAGAAAGGCAACAGTAACTCAAATACCCAATCTAGGGATTGGGTGGGGATTTAATAATAATAATAATAATAATAATTTTATTTGTAGAGCACTTAGAAAGTACAATTAAAACAATTAAAATCACAACAGTTAAAAAGGCCCTTATTGCAAAGCCTTCTCTAGATTTCAGCCTGGATTCAGGGATGGAGGATGTCAGGCTGCGTACAGGTTCGTAAGGGGTTAAAAGGTCACGAATATATTCTGGAGCCAGGCTATTAAGAGCTTTAAAAGTAATCAATTAGAACTTCAAATCAATCCTAAAACAGACAGGGAGCCAATGTAAAGAGCTTAAAATTGGAGTGATGTGGTCGAACTTCTTAGTTTGGGTTAATAACCTAGCAGCTGAGTTCTGCACTAATTGTAGGCGGTTCAGAGTTTATTATTTAGAAATGAGAACATGAGAATGCTATCATGTCAAGTTTCCAACACCTTGTTGAAAGTATGCCATGAAGAATTAAGGCAGTTCTGAACGCAAAAGGTGGTCCAACCCTGTACTAGCAAGGTGTACCTAATAAAGTGGCCAGTGAGTGCTTATAATGAGTACCTGCACTCTGTCATTTATTAATCAATACTAATTTGTTTTTGCAATAACCCCAATGAATTACTGTTCATTTTTACAATATCTCAGGTCTGGTTACTCATCAGCTCTGCCGACATCACATTTATGCTACGGTGGGAGACTTCATTGCTAGTAGCATCCCTGTTGTTGTCTGTGTTGTGTAACAGGATGGTCTGGAGCTTCCTTTCACTGACGAGATTTTCAGGAAAAGAAGAGCGCATCCCAACTTCAAACAACACCTTGACCTGGAGAAGAGGGTGGTCAAAATGGGTGAAACTGTCAGTTTCAAATGTGTTTAAGTTGTCACATTTTGTATAGGAGACACATGCTATTGACACATGCCACCTGGTCACATGGTTGTTGTTTGTAGAAAAGGAAATTGTTCTCAACCTACGTGGTGGCATCAGGACTTCAGTACGGGATGGGAGAGCATGTCTTCCACTTCTTTTTCAAGGTGAGATTTGAAGACTACTGTACATTGTTGCTTTAGCTATCAACACCATCCACTTTTATTTTCCTAATATACCGATGTGTCACTGAAACGTAGGCTACGTTCAGACTGCAGACTGCAGGCCTTATGCTCCATTCCGATTTTTTCCCAGATCCAATTTTTTTGTTTGACAGTTCACATTATTATTTAAATGTGGCCCATATCAGACTCCAGTGGGAACTGTCCACGGCCTGAAAGTGACCCGCATGCGCAGAAGAATAACACGACGTCACACGCAGCACACTGTCGTACAGACGTAAACAAGCTACAGCAGTTAGCTCCAAAATTTCACGGGAGACTCCTGTATTTCATGGTCCTCTCCTGGTTTACTCCCGGGGTCACATCTCTCTCGAATTATGACAAATGTTCACAACTTTCTGTTCTTTTCATGACATTCTTTACTGTTTCTGTTGCTGTATAATGTATATGCCGCGCAACACTCTCTCAATTCAATTCAATTCAAATTAGCTTTATTGGCATGAATGTATAACAACAATATTGCCAAAGCATCATACAAACTACATAAGAACAATCAATCCCATACATTTCATTAAACAAGTAATTAAAGTGTAAAGTAATTAAAGTGTATGTGTGTTTGTGTGTGTTAGAAAAATTTAAATATATTAAAAATGTAAATAAAATAAATAAATAAAACAAGCCTGTGTGTGTGTTAAAAAAATAAATAGATTATACATGTGTGTATATTAATAGACGAAAACTTAAAAAAATTATTGATAAAAAAAATCAAATCTATCAAATGTAAAAACAAAACAATTACTAAAATATCAAAATCAAAATAATAATAATTTGAAAATGTATACATTCTTTATCAGTCTGAGTTTCCACTGGTTGTCCTCACTTCGTGGCATGAGGAGACTTATTTTGAAGCAATTATTTCACATTTGGGCATTTCTACCAGTAAATAGGGGTTTCTGTGTGTCTGAGATGAATTTGAATTCGGAGTATACTTGGGAAATGTTTGCAAAGTGTTTTTGTCTTAATGTTTTATATTTAGGGCATCAGGTTAGCCAGCTCTGTCTGTGGCAACCCTTTTCTATGGCCAGGCTGTGTTCACTCAGTCTGTATGTTGTCAACATTTTTCTTAGTTTAGGACATTTTATTGTGCTAAGGTGATTTGCCAGTGTGAATTCTCTTTTTACGGTCAGATAACATTGTAATTTACTTTGTGTTTTGGTCGTTTCTTTCCAGTATTCAATATATTTTTCTTTTTGCTTGTTGATAATTTGGTTTGGTCTGCTTGAGTTGGTGTTGCTGTCCTGAGGCTGTCAGGGGAAGTTACTGCAGAGAGCCTCAGGACCAGCTGGCTGAGGGGACTCTTCTCTGGTTTCAGCTCCTGGTATGTTAGGGCTTTGTGATGGTATGTCTGGGGGTTTAATGATTTTAAGTGATTGTAAAATTGAATTGATCTTTTATGTATTTTTAGTAAGAGGGGGTATTGGCCGAGCTCTGCTCAGGTTATTTGGTGTTTTTCTCTGCACCTGCAGGATGCTCTTACAGAACTCAGTATGGAAAGATTCTATGATGGTTTTGTCCCAGATCTTTCACAGCCATGTTGAAGTTCCCTGTGTATGTAATGTTGTTGTTGTGTGTAACCTGATTTCTGTATTGTTTCTGAAAGATCATTATCTTGGTCTTTGCAGTGTTTACTGTCAGGGCCCAGGTCTGACAGAATCTTTGCAGGAGATTAAGGTGCTGCTGCAAACCTTCTTTAGTAGGTGAAAGCAACACTAAGTCATCTGCATACAGCAGACCTCTGATCTCTGTGTCGTTCAGGAGGAGGCCAGGTGCTGTGGAACTCCCTAATTGGTTCGCTAATTCATTGAGATATAGATTGAAGAGAATTGGACTGAGATTGCATCCCTGCCTCACTTCCCGGCCCTGGGCGAAGAACTCTGTTTGTTTTATTCCAATCTTTATGGCACATTCACTTTTTATATACATGTTCTTAATCAAATCATTTGTTTTTCCTCCAGTGCCACTTTCAAGTAGCCTATAGAAGAGGCCCTCGTGCCAGATGGAATCAAAGGCTTTTTGAAAGTCAACAAAACAGGCATATACCTTTCTTTTCTTAATGTTTAATTCTTGATCAATTAGAATCTGCAGGGTAAATATATGGTCCGTTATGCGGCAGTTTGGCAAAAAAAACTTATGCAGAATATTGTGGTCATCAAGACAGTTGACAAGTCGTTTATTAATGATGTTGCAGAATATTTTTCCCAGGTTACTGGATACACATATTCCTCTGTAGTTATTTGGATCATATTAATCTCCGGATTTATGAATTGGGGTTATTAAACCTTTGTTCCAGATGTCTGTTTCAGCTGCTAGAATAGTGTTGAATAGTTTTAGTATAGCCCATCTGATTTTAAGGTCTGAGTATTTGAGCATTTCGTTGAGGATTCCATCAATACCACAAGCCTTTTTTCCTTTCAGGGACTGGAGGACTTCTGTTAAGTCTTGTTCTGTTACAGGGTAATCTAGAGGGTTTTGGTTGACTCCAGAGTTTTCCATTTCGTGAATATCTTGTGCTGATCATCATTTTTTATAATATTACTGTATAATTGACTAAAATGATTAATCCAAGTATTTCCATCTTGGATTGCCAATTTATCCTGCTGGGTTTTGTTTAGGGTGTTCCTTTTCTCCCAGAACTGGTTGGACTCCAAGGACTCCTCAGTTTCACAGAGCTGGTTCTTGCTGTGTTGTTCTTTCTTAGTTTTTAGGGTGTACTTGTATTGTTTCAGAGTGGCGAGCGGGGATGGCTGTGGCTCAGGAGGTAGAGTGGGTTGGCCGTTAATCGGAAGGTCGGCGGTTCAATCGGCTCCCCCAGGCTCCCCCAGGCTGCATGTAGAAGTGTCCTCCGGCAAGATACTGAACCCCAAATTGCCCCTGGCGCCTGTTCTGCCAGTGTATGAATGTGTGTGACTGGTGAATGCAGATGTAGTGTAAAAGCGCTTTGAGTGCTCGAAAAGACTAGAAAGGCGCTATACAAGTACGGAGCATTTACAGTGGCCTCATATTGACAGCGTATGTTGTGGTTATCTGGGTCCCTATGCTTTTCATTTGGTAATTTCCTTAAAGTTTTGGTGTCAAACCATTTGTTATTGTTCATTTGTTGAGGTTTTGGTTTGGAGGCTTTCAAATTAGACAATGAAGCCAAATGATGAAATATTGAATTGATTTTGTCCACAGCAGAATTTACACCAGAATTATTCTGGGGAAATGTTTCACTTAGAAATAAATGAGTTAAATCATGTATGTTTTGATTTTCCAGTGCCTTTTGGTACGCCCCCATGCTGTCTGGGGTCCATCTGTATGAGTATGTGCTGTTAAACAGTTCACAGGCAATAAGGGCCCCAGACTCAGACTGAGCCCTTTTCAGATAGATAGTGATTTTGCTGTGGTCTGAGAGGGGTGTGAGGGGGCTGACTGTGAAAGCTCTGAAAGACATTGGATCTAGATCTGTAATGAAATAATCTACCATATATAAGATTCTTCTTTTTTAATAACTATGATGGACTGGTTCAGTTCTGATTTACACCATATAATCAGGCCTCCTTAATCTCTGCCTTGGGTTATTGTGGGATTTTTTGTTGATGGTATAATAGTCTCAGTGTAGCTGTGAGGACGACCAGTGGAAACATCTCTGCACCATGTCTCCTGTAAAACTATGATGTCAGAGTATTTTAACTCTATTAAAATCTGAGTTTCTGCTCTTTAAACCAAAAGCTGATGATCTCAGACCTAGAATGTACACTCACAGTCCAACATGTTATTGTAAATGATTTCATCTCCAAGTGTAATCTGTTCAAAAATTAGACAAACACCTTAAAAAACAAATAATAATAATAAACTAGATATTAAAAAATAATACTAGAAACAAATGAAAAGGGGAAAAAAAGTGCAACAAGAGGAAAATAGTGTTGTAGGTAAAATAATAAGAATCACTCTCTGTCTCTCTCTTGCGTCCGCTCAGATAAGTAGCATGCACTTAACTCAGTAAAGAGCTCGCGGTCCGGTGGATTCAGGTGTAACAAATGGAATTTGTGAGCAGATGATAGTGAGGTAGAGGAGACACATGTTTAATAATGTCCTTTTGTACATCGCTGCTCCATCTGGGGGGGGAACAGCTGCTCTAGAGTGACGTCAAAGTCGCATCAATTCCGACCTGAGTGTCCAGACTGAGGTCGCATCCCAAAAGATCAGATCTGTATCGGATTTGGACCACATATGGAAGTGGCCCGAATCCGAACTGAAGATCAGATTACTTATGACTTGGCCTGTTACACTGTTATAAAAAGATCAGATCTGAGTCACATATGGGCAAAAAAAATTGGGTCACTTTGGCCTGCAGTCTGGACAAAGCAAAAGTTTGAATTGAAGATCCACTTGGTTCCTAGCAACTAAAACCAAACAAGGGTCCCAAGTCCGACCAGGTTCACATTAAGCTGAATCTTAATGGAGTTAAGCACAGTGTTACTTTTGGCATCTGATTTTGATTAAGTGTGATTAGTTTTACTCACATTTTCTCCAAAGTGAAATTTTAGTCTAATATATGTTCTGCATTTAGAAGCTACAGCTCTCACCATCTTTGTTGTGTACCGCTAACATGTGTTTTTATTTATTCAATTATTTTTGGATTTTGCCTTAATTTCAAATGTGACATCAAGAAATCTGAGGAGAAAGCAAGAGGTGCAGAAAAAGACGTAAAATGACTCTTGCAGCTGAATTTTGAATGCATTGCAGTTGCCTGCTGGTCTTTTTAGGTAGTCCTGTCAGAAGTCCATTGCAGTAGTCCGTTTTGCAAGAGACAGAAGCATGGATTAATTTTCTTGTTTTTTCAGAAGGTCCCTGACCATGTTTATAAGGTGATAAAATGTTGATATTGTTACTGCTTTTACATGACACTTAGGTAGAAGTTTCTTAACCTGCTCTTTTGTGTTTAAGTGCCTTTGACGTTTAGGTGAGCAGCAACCCCAAGCCTCTCATCTTTGCTGCCAAGTACAATTACTTCAAATTCAACAATTTAATTTTATCCAATTATCTTCCTTCTCTCTCTACATCAACTGTCTTTTTTCTGCATATTAAAGTAATGAGTAAATACCCTACCTTTTTCTCATGTTTCCTCACAATACACTACAAGCAGGGCCATTTTAAGTTACCTGACCTATAGCCTGTAGCCATAGCCTAAATAGCCAGTTAATCTTGAAAGTGAAAGTGTCTGACAACATGCAGTCAGCTGTCTTTGGTTTTTAGCAGAAGCATGATAGAGGCGGTACAGTTTATCAAAGAAAGACCAACATTGATTGAGGCTTGCAGCCACCTACACAGCATGTCCTACAGTCTCCTAAAGTCTGAAGTTCTGTATCGTTGTATTATGTATTCTTACAGAGAGACTGTTGCTGTGCACGTTGATCAACTCCTCTGTTTGACGTGACAGGTTTTCCACCTGTCTCTGGTCCAGCAGCATTAGCCTTGTTGCAGGTTGAACAACAAAAAGTGTTACCTTACACACAAGCCATAGATACACAGGTTCATCTCAAAAATTTAGAATAGGAAAATTTCATTTTCTTCTGTAATTTAATTGAGAAAAGTGAAACTTACATTCTAGATTCGTTACACATAAAGAGAAATATTTCACTTTCATTTTTGTTTTAATGTTGATGCTTACGATACTATATCTAACAGAAATGTCAACATGAGAAGAGCTCTAATCAGCTAATTAACTCAAAACAGCTGCAAAGGTTTGCTGAGCCTTTAACTCTCATTGTGGTGGTGAACCTTTCCACGATATTCAGATTTTTTGAGATGCACCTGTAGCTCCTTCTCCTTTCCTTGATTTTCTGGCCAATATTCTGGGATATCTTCACATCTTGTTCTTTCTTCCCGATCATTTTCAGAATCCAAACTGCCTGAACTTCCTGATTCATCATCTCTTTTTGGTCTTGGTGCTGTTCAACTACCTGCTCTCTCCTCTGCCTTGTTGCCCGGCTGCTGCTCCTTCTCCCTTGCCTTATTTGACTGTTCATTTTCTAAAAAAGTAATGATATGAATTTCTGTAAAACTGCTTGTTTTATTACAGCACATCTGTGTGAACAATACCAGTGGAATTTGTGTCCACCTGCTTAGTTCCTCTGTACCTATTTAACAGGAGCCAATTTTCATGCACATTTGATGGTCTGGAGAGGAATCAAATTCAGTATCATATCTCACCTGTCTTTTTCTTTTGGAAAAATTAACGAAACCATCACAACCCTTACAAACAATGTGAAAAGTGTGAATTTGTTTCACATGTGTAACTAATTAACTGTATTATTAGACATCATGGCTGGGACAAGAACGTGAAATACCAGTCTTTGGAGACGGCAAGAACAAGGTTCCCACGATTCACGTCAATGATCTGGCAAGGTAGGACACACACACGGACACACACGGACACACACACACACACACACACACACACACACACACACACACACACTATAATAGCTCCCTTGAACAATCATTGATATGACTCCTGCTTTGCAACAAGCTTTAAGAAATCAGGTCTATATTGACTTAAATTGACAACATTTAATATTTACAAGTCAATATTTCTATGCTGTAATAAATGTAATGTGTTTGTTAAAGTGTGATTCAGAATGTGATTGAACATCAGCCCAAGCCCTATTACCTACTAGCTGTGGACAATTCCACCAATACCATGGAGGACATTGTGAAGGTATGTGTAAGTAAGTGATCAAGAAATATTTTGTCACAAATTAGAAATGTGTCCCTATGAATGGGCTGAAAATGTAATAAAGCCTGTTCAACTTTTGCAGTGACACGTTTACAAACTCAACAATGTTAGACTTACTGACCAATTTAGACCTTTATTGTATTATACAAACAAAACTGTGTATCAGGTTTTACATCTGTCTACAGAGATTCAGTATATCCACCTACTGTATATTGATATAAATCCTCTATTTTTTTTTTTTGAGAGAGAGAGAGAGGAGGATGATGATGATGATGATGATATAATGAAAGTGAGTTCTTTCTCCACCAGACAATTGCCTCTGTACTTGGACCAGGGAAGATCCGGAAAAGGCCATTTGAGGAAGCCTTCTTTTCACAGGACTTGAGTGTATGTTCCACTGATGTTTAAATATCACTTAGTTTACTGTTTGTTTTTTTATGCCAGGACTAACACTGAATTGTTCACAATCTTGTTTTACTACTGCTAATACACTAGAAATTAAAACTGACTTCTTCCTAACCCTAACCCTAACCCCTAACCCTTCCTAGCTCTACATTTTACAAAACCTTAATGGTAAAGTGTAATGTGTAATTCCTGGCCACATGCTCCAAACAAATAGGAGGCAGCATTTCACCTCCTCCTCACCCACTCTAAGCCGTTCTGCTCTTTTGTAATCACATGTAACATTGGAGTTGATCTTAATAATAACCTCTTATATCAGACTCTTTGTGTGTTCCTGGATTAGCAGGCGTTGCATCTTCTGCAGCAATAAAGTTAAAGAACCACTGCCTTGTAGTTATAGTAGATGGGCAGTGGCGGGGGGGGGGTCTGCATGGTTAGCTTAGCTTAGCATTAAGAATTTGAGCATGGGCTAATTCAAAAATTCACCCACCAACAACTCTGAAGTTACTAATTACTCATTACATTTGTTTTGTTTAATCTGCACAATAAAGGGAAGGTAAAGAACATTTTGTATAAAACAATTAGCTATAGTATCTCACAAAAGTGAGTACACCTCTCATATTTTTGTAAATATTTGATTATATCTTTTCATGTGACAACACTGAAGATACTTTGCTACAGCCCCAATTCCAATGAAGCTGGGACGTGGGGTAAAATGTAAATAAAACCAGAATACATTCATTAGCAAATCCTTTTCAACCTATATTCAATTGACACACAACACACAAAAAAAAAATATTTAATGTTCAAACTGATAAACTTTATTGTTTTTTGCAAATATTCACTCACTTTGAATTTGATGCCTGCAACACGATCCAAAAAAGCTGGGACAGTTGAGGAATGCTCAAAAAACACCTGTTTGGAACATTCCACAGGTGAACAGGTTAATCACAACAACAGTTATCTCAGAGCGCCTTTCATAAGAGCAGGTCTAGACTGTACTATGTGATCATATTTACAGAAACCAAACACCACTTTGTGAACAAATGCGTGAACAAATAGCCCAGCAGTTTAAGAACAATGTTTCTCAACGTACAATTGCAAGGAATTTAGGGATTTCATCATCTTCGGTCCATAATATCATCAAAAGATTCAGAGAATCTGGAGAAATCTCTGCAGCAAGGCCGAAAACCAACTCTGAATGCCCGTGACCTTCGATCTCTCAGGCGGCACTGCATTAAAAACCAACATCAATGTGTAAAGGATATTACCACATGGGCTCAGGAACACTTCAGAAAACCATTGTCAATTAACACAGTTCGTCGCTGCATCAACAAGTGCAAGTAGAACTCTACCATGCAAAGCGAAAGCCATATATCAACGACACCCAGAAACGCCACCGGCTTCTCTGAGATGGACTGACGCAAAGTGGAAAAGTGGGCTGTGGTCTGACGAGTCAACATTTTTAATTGGTTTTTGGAAATTATGGACGTCGTGTCCTCCAGGCCAAAGAGGAAAAGGACCGTCCAGATTGTTATCAGCGCAAAGTTCAAAAGCCAGCATCTGTGATGGTATGGGGGGGTGTTAGTGCCCATAGCAGGGGTAACGTGCACATCTGTGAAGGCACCATTAATGCTGAAAGGTACATACAGGTTTTAGAGCAACATATGCTGCCATCCAAGGAAAGTGTTTTTCAGGGACGTTCCAGTTTATTTCAGAAAGACAATGCCATGCCACATCCTACATGTGTTACAACAGCGTGGTTTGAGGCACTAGACTGGCCTGCCTGCAGTCCTGACCTGTCTCCCATTGAAAATGTGTGGCGCAAAATACGACAATGGAGACCCTGGACTGTTAAGCAACTGAAGTTGTACATCAAGCAAGAATGGGAAAGAATTCCACCTACAAAGCTTCAACAATTAGTGTTTCTCAGTTTGAACATTAAATATGTATTCAGTGAGATTGCCAAACTTATCTATATCTTAACCTATATCTGTTTGCATACAGTGAATGAAAGAGATAAAACATATTAATTAGTGAGCTTTAGAGGTGTTGGTTATTTGTTTATGCCGGCTTCTAGACTTTAAGTGAAGTTAGGCTAACTATGTCCTGTCTTACTTAAAGGTGGGGTAACGTCTTTTTGTCATATTCAGCAAATATCTCTTCAGGGTTTGCTAGATGTTTGTTCTATGTGTGCGCTAAATAAAATATACGGTGCTTGCCTGGCTCTGTAAGTTGGAAACAAACAAAGGTGGCCCGCACCTCGCCACACAACACTATCCCAGCCATGATTTGTGTGTCAGGTAATGCTAAATGAACTTCCCATGGACATAGAGCTTACTTTTTAGTTTGCCAAGGCATGCTGTTGTGATGCTAGTTTAAGAGAGTCGTGAGTATCGCTGAATGGAGCTTGTGTGCTGGTTCTGGGACTGTCTCGTCCTCTCTGCATGCTAGCTTCACAGCAGCAGCTGTAGCCGCAGTTTGCTCACCCAAAACGTAGCTGACATTAGTTACATTACTTTCTGTGTTGTTTGCTCTACATCAGATATTTGTCATGTTGTTGGATTTCTCCAGAATCGCTTACTCCACCTTTAACACACCTCCATGAAATTTGTAGCTTTATCTTACTCCCAGAAAAAAATGTGAATGAGCTTATTTTCCAAAGCATTTAATTATTCTTTGTAGATCTATTGACATGTTATTTCCCCTTGCCAGGTAATGGAAATTGATTCCATACTGGTCAACCTTCACATGGAGGGTATCCGTGTTATGGAACTGTTCTCTTTCAACTGGTTGTGTGAGTTTGGTCTGGTGGAGAACATAGAGCTGGTGGTAGAGGAATACAGGCAGACCAGGGGACTGCAGGTAGGTACTAAGCAGAAAGCCAAAACATGTCTAAAAAAAAACAGTTATAATGAAATGGCAAAATAATGAACAGTTTCATAGACATACAGGTGCTGGTCATATAATTAGAATATCATCAAAAAGTTGATTTATTTCAGTAATTCCATTCAAAAAGTGAAACTTGTATAATGTATACATTCATTACACACAGACTGATATATTTCAAGTGTTCATTCCTCTTAATTTTGATGATTATAACTGACAACTAATGAAAACCCCAAAATCAGTATCTCGTAAAATTAGAATATTGTGAAAAGGTTCAATATTGAAGACACCTGGTGCCACACTGATCAGCTAATTAACTCAAAACACCTGCAAAGGCCTTTAAAACGGCATAATCATGGGGAAGACTGCTGACTTGACAGCTGTCCAGAAGATGACCATTGACACCTTGCACAAGGAGGGCAAGACACAAAAGGTCATTGCTAAAGAGGCTGCTGTTCACAGAGCTCTGTGTCCAAGCACATTAATAGAGAGGCGAAGGGAAGGAAAAGATGTGGTAGAAAAAAGTGTACAAGCAATAGGGATAACCGCACCCTGGAGAGGATTGTGAAACAAAAGCCATTCAAAAATGTGGGGGAGATTCACAAAGAGTGGACTGCAGCTGGAGTCAGTGCTTCAAGAACCACCACGCACAGACGTATGCAAGACATGGGTTTCAGCTGTAGCATTCCTTGTGTCAAGCCACTCTTGAACAAGACACAGCGTCAGAATCGTCTCGCCTGGGCTAAAGACAAAAAGGACTGGACTGCTGCTGAGTGGTCCAAAGTTATGTTCTCTGATGAAAGTAAATTTTGCATTTCCTTTGGAAATCAAGGTCCCAGAGTCTGGAGGAAGAGAGGAGAGGCACAGAATCCACGTTGCTTGAAGTCCAGTGTAAAGTTTCCACAGTCAGTGATGGTTTGGGGTGCCATGTCATCTGCTGGTGTTGGTCCACTGTGTTTTCTGAGGTCCAAGGTCAACGCAGCCGTCTACCAGGAAGTTTTAGAGCACTTCATGCTTCCCGCTGCTGACCAACTTTATGGAGATGCAGATTTCATTTTCCAACAGGACTTGGCACCTGCACACAGTGCCAAAGCTACTAGTACCTGGTTTAAGGACCATGGTATCCCTGTTCTTCATTGGCCAGCAAACTCGCCTGACCTTAACCCTATAAAAAATCTATGGGGTATTGTGAAGAGGAAGATGCGATACACCAGACCCAACAATGCAGAAGAGCTGAAGGCCACTATCAGAGCAACCTGGACTCTCATAACACCTGAGCAGTGCCACAGGCTGATGGACTCCATGCCACACCGCATTGCTGCAGTAATTCAGGCAAAAGGAGCCCCAACTAAGTATTGAGTGCTGTACATGTTCATACTTTTCATGTTCATACTTTTCAGTTGGCCAACATTTCTAAAAATCCTTTTTTTGTATTGGTCTTAAGTAATAATCTAATTTTCGGGGATACTGAATTTGGGATTTTCATTAGTCAGTTTTAATCATCACAATTAAATGAAATAAACATTTGAAATAAATCAGTCTGTGTGGAATGAATAAATATAATATCCAAGTTTCACTTTTTGAATGGAATTACTGAAATAAATAAACTTTTTAATGATATTCTAATTATATGACCAGCACCTGTAGTGTTGCTTTCCCATATGTCTGAAAGTGCTTTGTTATTATAGTTGTCTTGGTTCTCGTTAAGTTGTACTAGCTAATCTATGTAAATGTATTCTTTCCAGCCCATCCGTCTGTGTGTACTGGGTCCTCCTGCAGTGGGGAAGAGCACAGTGTCCAAACAGATCTGTGAACACTATAAACTCCATCACATCACGCTGAAGGAGACCATCTCTGAAACCGTCTCACAGCTGGTGAGCTTCTCCTGATTCACACAAAAACAAAAATAGACATACATTTCTAGTACGTGTTTTAATGCTCCTACAATTCCATTTCCATACCCGTTTCTAGAAAGATGCTGTGAAGAATGCTGATCCAGATGCAGAGAAGGAGGACTCTGCAGCAGAGGCCCAGGAGCTGCTGAAGACCCTGAAGGACAGTATGGAGCAGAATGCAGGTACACACTGAGACAACCAGGGTTTATCTCCCAGAAACAACTACTTTTCTGTCCTTACTCACTGATTTGGCATTCAATCCCCCTTTCTTTATCTTCAGTTTGTAGATAGTGGTGCAGAGGAGGGATGCTGGACAGAGTGAAACGCTTACTGAGTCATAGTAAAGAAAAGTGAGGCTGTTTAATCCGTCATACTGTCTTTCACCTGGCCGCCACCATGAGATAGACCTGTGGCCTATACTACGAAGGGAGTTTAACCTACTCCAATTTAACTCAGGGTTGACAAACTCTGACTGTCTACACTGGTGTTAAATGGTATTACGATAGTGAATAAGATGTTAGTTTGTTGAGTTGGTGCAAGTTCACTTGTGTGTTCTGCTTTTTTCAGCGCATACGCTGTATTTTCCCCAAAAGAATGCCCGATGATAGTGTCAGGATGTAAGGAGTTTAAAGACACGTTAACAGTAAAATCTAACAACGTGGCAGCCAGCATATCCAGGTTAAGCTTGTTGGTGCATTGAGTAAATTTGTAATTATCTTATTTCAAACAGTAGACACAGTCAGAGACTAGCTGGTGAACAAAGTGGAGCTTTTAGCATCTAAAGAGTCAGATACTTTCCTCAGGAGCTGGTGCACACCAAAATCAGAGCTAACAAAGAGTGAATATTAGACTTACCATCATCAGGTGGACATGATTTCAAATGAATACTAAAGTTGCTCTGTACAGCCTGGGTATGTAGATATGCGAGTATTTGCTAAGCTCGCTATATCAACTAAAAATGTGATATTAGGTGCGTTTGACTTCATGCGGCGCTGCGCAGCGCTGACTTAACATGATGCATGCCGAACGTAAAATAAGGCATGCTGGTTAGAAAATGTGTCCGACTTTTGCCGGCGCTGCAAAACGTCCCCATGTCACATGACATTAAAACCTCATGGGAGCAAGGCGGCTGCAGGCGCCGAGTCCGGCTGCACAAAGTTGAAACCACCTTTTGCCTGATGCCGCAAGATCAGTCGTTCTAAACTCACAGTAAACTAACGCAGGTAGATTGTGTCCGACTGGACAACACTGTTTTTATACCTCGCCTCTGCAGTAACGTGCAGCTCACGTTAGACTATCAAGTCTGCAAAAGTCAGCCGCGGTCATCTCGAACGCACCTAAAACGTTAATATTGTGTTCACAACTTGTTTCATGCCCCCAAAATGTATTATTGCAGGTACATTATGTAACATTAATATATTCTATTAACTTGAGCATGGAGATTCAATTATTAACTTTACGGCCTTTCAACCATATCTCACATTCTTCTTCAGCAGTAGAGTCCAGACTGCTGTGCATGAACACGCTTAAAGAGCTCTGTTTATTGAATGTGCTCATGTTTTTGGGGAACTGAACATATCCTTTTGTGAACGTGAAGTCACACACAGTTGAGTTAAACTCAGTAAACTACAAAAATAACTGAAAGGAGTACACATTATGAAGACAGGTAGATAAAGTTTCACTTTCTCTTCCTGGCTTAGCTGTTACAGGAAAACATGTTGTGTAATCCAGAGAGGAAAACAAATCATGGTGTAAATAGATGTCACAGAAAGTTATTATACAGTCTATAGAGCTTTTTTTTAGACCTGCGCAAATGAGAGGAGGATGTGATGTTTGATTTTTTGAGCTGGACACAGCGAAGGATCTTAATCTGATCTCAATGTGGACCCTGGAGACACCTGTTAATACCAGGTGTAAATGAAATCCGGTTAAAATCAGAAGTGTCAGAGATATAAAGCCCTGGGGTCTCATTTATAAACGGTACACGTACAAACAGGGCTGGAAACATGTCTCAGCCACTTCCCAAGCAAAGGTTGTGATCTATAAAAAACAAACTTGATGGGAGAATGTGCGTCCTGTAAGTAAACTCTGAACCATGCGCACATAAAGAGGAGAAATGAGAAACGGCAACTCACACGGCAGAAGGATGAAACTGTGTTAAATGAATTGAAATATTACCTTTAAATATATTATAGGCTTAAAGCCTTTCTAAATATTCAGACACTCCTTTGATTGTTTTTCCCTGAAGTGCAAAATAAAGAAACAAAATTTTATATAATTTGCAGCCCACAAAAAGATCCATGACTGAGGATAATAAACACAAACGGATTCTGTTTCTGCAAAAGAACACCTCAAATATGTTGTACACTTTAATCAGGAATCATATTAATTAATACTTGCATGCAGTGCAATTTATTCTCATAAATAAGGTGAACAGGAGGACAAATTCCATTTAAATTAATGCCGTTTTCAGTGTGTTCTCATTTTCTGTTGCTACTTGTCATGCCGTTTGTCAAACTGAACCTTATACCTGCTTTACCTATAAATCATTGAGCTAAATTTTCCTTTTAAATATCATAGGCCATACAGTTCTTATGCTTTTTATAATTACTACTGACTACTACAAAATTCAGGTGACAGGAGACAATTGAAAATATAGTGTAAAATAATGCAGTAAGACTCTCAGACATCCTGTATTTCTCCTGTAGATCAACTTTTCTCATTTAATTTCAACCCTGCTGAGTCAACACAGATGCAGGTATGGCTGAAGTAAAGTCTTTAAATGTGCATATGGCACCTTTTCACCTCACTGATAAATTTATTAATTTTACATTAACAATCTCTCACTATTTTCTGACATTTGCAGATTATATTAATTTTATATTATTAATATATTAATCATATCTTAAGATAAAAATTGTAATATTATGAGTATAAAATTGCAATCTAATGAGAATAAAATCATAATATTTTAACAAAAGCTACCTGCCCCTCTGCTGTGCATTACCCTGTGTTATCGCTCTGCTGATAGGGCAGTTCCCTTCAGACTGTCCAATAGAGCCCGTCTGGGGACGTACTGGATGAGATGAGCGCACTGCTCTTCATCTCACTACACATCCACACAAATATAAACTTGAGCATCTCTGATAAAGTGCAGCTCAGCCGCTTCAGAGGGAATTAAGCATCCTGGAGCAAAGAGACGGTCCAAACAGAGCGAAGGTGTCTCTGAGCGAGGAGGACAGAGAGTAACGAGAGCGACAGGTGTCTGTGTCGTGGCCAAGTGCGTCATGTTATTCTCTCGCTACTTTGTGGCGGACTGTTAACCGTTTGTGTAGCAAATATATTGACCAGACACTGACCAACAACATTTATATCTACATGTTGGATTACAGTCAGCAGTCAGTAGTGAGAAGCCCTGAAGCTGTGAGCAGTGCGCTCTCTCTCTCTAAATGCAGGCACGCTGAGTAACGGTGGTGGGGGGGGGTCACTTTACGTGAAGTTCAAACGAAATGTAACAACATTATTGTGAGCAGCCTCAGTTCTTTGAAGACCTGCGAGATTCGGGGCTAAAGCTCCGGAACAATAACCTGGCGACGCCGATTCCCCTGACTTAACCGACGTGTAGTACTAAATCATTGGATATCCTTTTAAGATTATGTTGCCACAACATAATGTCAGAGTTTCTGTCCTTTAGGTCTTTTGGAGGACCAGCTGTTGGTGAAGGTGGTGAAAGATAAGCTGATGTCTAACCCATGCAGAAACCAGGGTTTTGTTCTGGATGGCTTTCCCAAGACATATGATCAAGCTAAAGAGCTCTTCTATGGTGAGACACTGACAAAAAGCTCTTTCTGCACCAGTGTCAAAATCACACACAGGCTCAATTCGACATGGACACAGACTGTACATACTATACAAACACAACATATCTGTTTTGTTTTTCTTTCTTTTTTAGCTGTAGAGCAGGAATCAGAAGATGAAACGTCCCCGATTTCTTCACACAGCAAGAACATGCCAGGTCTCTGTATTGTCATTACAATCCTGTTATTTCCCCTGGAGGGAGAGACTTCGACACACAGCAGTGCCTGTAGACCTTGTAGCAATCAGAACTATAAGCTATGAATAAAAAAAATCAGTAACCACAAAAACATCCATATTGATAAAAAAGGCCTGAGCCTTTGAGTCTCCGTTGTTATAGTATTTGTTATGGTTTCCTTGTGTGTGCCACAGAGTTTGTGTTGTACCTGGATGCGTCTGATGCTTTCCTGAAGGATCGGGTGATGAACCTGCCTGAGGGGCTGGTACAGGGACACAACTACGATCAGGACCACTTCCTGCGACGACTGGCTAGATACAGAGAGAACAACGTGGAAGATGAAACTGTTGTCAACTACTTTAATGAGCTGGAAATCACCCCTCTGTACCTGGGTAATCCATGAATCATGTCTAATCCTGTGTGGGGGTGCTACAGATCTACAATTGCTGACTGGACCATGTTGGGGCCCAGGCAGATCTGATTAAATAGGCGTTATCAGTTGTCATTGGGAGCAGATTTAGAGCACATCAGCACATTTTAGAAGGTAATTTTTTGTTGTGCCGTCGAGGTCAGGGGATACAGTTTAAAGAGCGAGAAAAGTCCACCTGAGGCCGTGGTCGGGGTAGTGGTGTGGGTCAAACACAGGACTCTTACCCATGAGACAGCTGTTTGTTTCCAGTGTGAAATCAAATGTCGACACTTTTTTAACTAACATACTTATTTTAACCCAAACCATCATCATTTCCTAAACAGAACCGAGCAGTTTTGGAGCCTAAACCTAAGAATTCTATGACCGTTTCCACCGTTAACCACGCGTGTTATTGTTACCATGATGACGAACATCACCTTACTTCATCCTTTCCTGGACATCCAAAACTCATAATATGTTAAATGTTTCTGGATTACCGTTTATCACTGATAAAAATGATGGTTTGCACCTTCAGACCTACTGGTAGGTGCAGTTTGCCCCGTCTGAAGCTTTATAATGGCGCTTGTGCGTCTCCGCCAGGAATATTTCTTTCCAACGTGTGCTTACTGTGCAACAAACTTGATGAACTTGATCATGTCCAACCAGACGGGAGAATGTTCTGTATCGCTGTTACACTGCAATAAGCAGTGCCTATCACGTTATCCCCCATGCTGCAGTGGAACACTCAGAAATAAAGTTATGAAACCTGTATCAGGATCCTGTTTGTGGATTTCGGCTGCGCCTTCAGCACCATCATCCTGGCTCTGCTGCAAAACAAACTCTCCCAGCTGTGTGCCTGACTCCACCAGCAGGTGGATCACAGACTTACTGTCTGACTGGAGGCAGCATGTGAAGCTGAGAAAACATCTCTCGGACTCTTGGACCATCAGCAATGGTGCCCATCAAGGCTTTGTTCTTTACCCTCTTCTGCCTGTACACCAACAGGTGCACCTCCTGTCCTCTCCACCCTCATTGGGATCATCTCTGGTGGGGATGAGTCCGGCTACAAGTGGGACATTGACCTGGTGCAGCCAGAATAAAACAGTGGAGGCGGTTGTGGATTTTACTAAGAACATCAGCTCCCTCACTAAGAAAGCCCAGCAGAGGATGTGCTTCCTGCAGCAAGTGGGTTGGCAGAATTATCATTAGCCTGAAAGCCAAACGTTAATTTTTTTAATTATCTCTCTAAGGCTACGTGCCGCCTCAAAGTAACTTTTGGTGTTATTTGCTTTGATAAACACGACATACAGGGATAGAGTACTGTACTGGTCCCAGAAGGGGAAAAGGGACAAATCCCTGGCAAGGTCATCGTCTGTGTGGTCTCTGTGTGACTGTGTTGCTTCTTCCTTTCTCGTTGTGACCGTAATGAGCCTCACGCTGCGTCCTTTTGCCTTATTCTAACAGTTAACACTGTGAATGCATCCTTCCATTGCATACTGTAGTCCTTGGTCCCAATGTGAGTTAGCCAGGAACTGATTGTCTGAGTGTCTGCCACTTTGCAGTGTAGGGTTTGTTGGTCTGGCTGTATGTTCAGCATTCAGTACAAATACGAAATGTGTGTAATTCGGCCAAAAAAAATGTATCTGCCATAGATTCAGACATTTTCACCATATTGTCAAACCTTACTGTGTTTCTTGCCTTCCTCTTCAGAGATCACCAGTAGCAATGAACCTGACTGCCTGCTGCTGAAGCAGAAGATCTTTGACATGGTGGGCCAGCCCAGGAACTACGGCCCCAGCAAGCAGGAGCTAGAGAGAGAGGAGAGGAGGAAGGCTGAGGAGAGGATGAGGAGAGAGGTCCAGGATAAAGCTGAGGAGGAAAGGAGGGAGGCAGAGGAGGCCAGACACAGGGCTGCAAACTGGGACGAGTGGGTAGGTACTGGGATGAGAGCTGGAGTTTGGATATTGGGATGTTGTTTGGAGATGTATATGCGGCGCTTCACAAGTTAACTATCAAACACATCTGCTGATGCCCATAAGGACGTCCATAAGACATAAGTGTATTCCATGAATGTATTTGGGATCTCTGTCCCTCTGTGCGGTGTACACAGTAAATCGAAAAAGTATGAGCTGCATGTAACATTTCATATCACATTTAATAGCTCCACCACATCTAGGAGGCATCAGTGCGTCTGTTTAAGTCAATAGAAGCTGCTGACAATACACAAGCATTAGACTCAGGCCATGTGTCACAGAAACAAGGTCCACTTACTAGCTTTTACCAAAGCATTCAACAGCCTCTCACAGTCTTCTTCACTGGATGGAGTTTGCTCTGTTGTCAGCTCAGATGTAATAAGGCTTTTGCGCCTGTTTTTCAGGTGCAGATGTGACAGAATCTGTCCCAAACACATGAGCCGTATTTGGTTTGAGGAACACGACAACGAGTTCAAGGTGTTGACTTGGCCTCCAAATTCCCCAGGTCTCAATCCAATCGAGCATGTGGGATGTCAAAAAAGTCAGATTTATGGAGGCCCCACCTCACAACTTACAGGATCTGCCGCTAATGTCTTGGTGCCAGATACCACGGCACACCTTCAGTGGTCTAAAGTCCGTGCCTCAACTGGTCAGGACTGTTTTGGTGGCAAAAGGGGGCTCTACATAATATTAGGCAGGTGGTCATAATGTTATGGCTGACCGGTGTCATTTTTGTCATCTCTTTTGCATCTTTTGGAGTATCAAAATGATTTTAATAACTTTTGATTATGAGATAGGTTTTCCATATTTCATTATTTTGCGTCTTCTAGCGTCCAGTTGGCACCATATTTTGAATAGAGTCATGGTGGGGCATGGGAAGTTAGGGGCTCAATTTTCGTGTTAATTGGAAAATCCTATGCAGAGATATGACATCACTTCCTGTTCCGGAGTACAACGTTATTATCGGCAATAGAAATGATGGCCAAAACTACAAAATGTGTACTATTGCAAAATTATTTAATGTAAGTGTTGATAGCTAATTGTGTTTGATATGTTTGGATGAATGAAGTTTGGTGCATTTTGTGTGTGTCAGACTAAAGGTTTAAAGGCGGTGAGGCAGCAGGAGGAGGAGCTGCTGGAGGCCCAGTCAGTCCCTATGAGGAACTACCTAACTGAGCACGTCATGCCCATTCTGACCCAGGGCCTGATCGAATGCTGCACCTCCCGACCACAGGACCCTGTGGATTTCCTGGTATTCCGTTAATCACCCGTTATTTCCTGATTTTTAGCAACTGACTTCACTAGATTTTGATCATGATCATCTCTTTTGGTTTGTCTTGTTCCAGGCGGAGTACTTGTTGAAGAACAACCCTTTTAACTACTGAAAGTCATTTCCTCTGGTTGCACCCACACATGATGCAAACACAAAACAACAAAACTGAAATAAAATGTGTTTTTCCGAGCCCTACAGAAATTAGAAATTACATGCAGCATGTAGAAGACCTCGTGGAGTCTTTTAGACTTGTCACAGTATTTCAGACATCACCTGCCAAGTGTCCCTCGGTTCATGCTGGGATTTTGATTAGGTCTGATTTGTAAGTGGCCCATTCTCTTGCCCCTGTTGTATTTACGCACAGCTTTGTTTGGGCTCTTGTGTGCCGGCCATTACTTAAAAGCGCCCTGAAAAATTGGATGAAGGTGCGTATGAAGCCAAAAGCTAATTAGGAAGTTAATTTGCGTAATGAACTTGGTAAACTTCAAAGTAGGCACGCTCGGGTCATAATTGCTTTGATTTGGCTTCCGATATCCAGGAAGGATAAATGTTACAAATGGCAGCTAATTTGTGTCTCTCTCATGTTGCCACTCGCGACTCCAAAGTGTACATAATTGGTTGCGACGGAACACCAAATTATTTCATTGTACATACTTAATCACCACATGGGGAAATTAGATGAGTTTATTTGGGAAGACAATTTGACTGCACCATCTGTGAGTCCCAGGTACAAACACAACACGGAGAGTTTCCTGAAAGTGAAACACACACATTTTAGACGGTTGATATGGTAACACAATGTTCTCATATGGTCTCATGTGATGTGAAACATGGAGAAAATACTTTTTTATATATCTTAGCGTACAGTCTGAAGATCTCGTAATGGCATTTGATTAATGGCTGGAGTACAAAAGACACTTCCCCCGCAAAGATGTTTTGCACTGTTCATTTGGACCAAATTAAAAAATGTTTCCTTTTAGTTCTGGTCCTTTTTCTGTTCACAAAGTTTTTATGAACAAACCCAGTAAAATTGATTGACATGTAACTCATTGAGTGGTGACTGATACCACAACGACAAAATACTCTATTTCAAATAAAAGCCCCGTATTCAAAAACTAACTTGGGTATGGGCAGCAAAGTATTCAGAGTATCCAGAGTAAAAGTCCTATATGCAAAATGGCCCCAACGTGAGTGTTAAATGTATATGAAGGTAATTGTTGTACAAAAATACATAATTGTGCAGTGCATTTTGTGAATTTGCGTCTGGGGGAATGTAAACAGCAGTGATGATAACATGGAGTCCACTTTGTGTTTGAGCACCTAGTATCATCAGTGGAAAACGAGTCCGATTCCTCTCATCTTGCTGGAGTCTTGCGCTCTGTCAGCTCGGAAAACAGTCTGCCCAGCAAGTACTTGATCCGGGATGTTGATGGAGCCAGGAGCAGCCTTAAGTCGAAGCTAGCTAGCTGGCTGCTATATTTCTGTCATTGGTCACACATGTTTCAACAATAAAGCTTAAAAAAAAACATGAAAAAGAAAAATGTAGTGACTGAAGGCACATAATATTGTAAATTATTAGAACATTTTTCACTGATTGCTGATTCGTTTATGACCATTCAGTGGTTTACTGTGTGTGGAAGATATAAGTTCCTTATTCCTGGCCAAAATAGAAAATATATTCCATACATCAGATAAATGTTCTGCTAGTAAGTTACTGAACCAATACTGAATGATCCCTCACTTATTGCATGCAGGCGCTCTATTTTGTCCTGTCCTTACTTAATCCCTAACAGTGCACATGGCTTCTGATCCCATCAAAGTTCTTTTTACTTTCATATAATAACTCTTATCAATGCAATGCAAACACGTTATTTTCAAATATTATTATTGCAAGGGTTTTTGAATGCAACAATCTCATGACTGTCCAACACCTGGTCTACAACACTTGTTAGTGTACTTTCTATGCGAGAGGTGCCCTTTGTAGATTAACATGGGAGATGTCAGGTAGCTTAACATTGTACATGCAGCAGACCAAGTGATAGTGATCCAGGAATGCTTTGAGGACCATTAAGATCAACGCTTTTGGAATGGACTTGAAAGCACCATCCAACCATCAGCCCTGATGAGTGCGTGGTCAGCTTGTTTGATACCGAGTCAGTGGTTATTACGGCAGCGAGCAGCTACCGTGCTGCCCTGTGAAGACAGAGAACACTTTGAGTTCTTTTTTACCTCCTGTCCCAACAGATATCTGTGATTTGCTGGCACCAAAGAAATATTTCCCCTCTAAACGTCTCACAGAGTTTCATTTAAATAACTGAGGCCCAAAGAGGTGAAATGAACTTTTACTTAAGTAAGATTTTGAATGCTGGGCTTTTACTTGTAACTGTTCCATCACTGCAATGCATTATTTACCATCGGCTAACAGACAATGAGAACACCATATGCACAAGTATCAGAGCCCATACTTTCTCTTTTTAGAGTTATGCATCCTGGTGCTCTTATTCAAATTCTGCAGATAGAGCTGACAAGTTAGATTCAACTGTTCCAATCAATATGCACAATTCTGACTGAATTAGAGATGATATTTTGATGGATGTTCAAGCAGGTTTCATGTTTCTCCAAGCTGGTAACAGAAACTAGGCTGGCTGGCTTTGTCAACAGGAATTAATGTATATCTACTAAAACCTGGAAACCTGGAATCCTTTTAAATCTTAAGTTTCAAATGCAGAACCCAGTAACTCACACCATATGTGATAAATGGCTGTAAACAGACAGTGACAGTAAGTAAAATAATGGGTCCAGGTCTAGGCATATAGTATTTTACATTTGATGCACCAGACAGAAGAATACACACTGCAACCCAAGGTAAATCTTTATTATCCCAGAGGGGAATTTGTTGCCCAGCCAGCAGCACAGTCAACATGCTAAACGACACGTTAACCATTTGCACAGAGAATACATAGAAATGAGTCTGCTATTCAGAAGGCTGTGAGCAGCAGGGACAAGTGAGGTTTTACATCTATCGGCCCAGCACATTGGTAGGTCAGATCTGCAACCTGAACTCACTGGACAGGGGCAACTAGATCAGCGAGGACTGACTAGATAGTCAATTTGTATATTTGGCAGAGGTCAGATTCAGATTTATGGATGCAATTGTACTACACAGTCAAACAATTCCCTCTAACCTGTGACCCAAGCCAGCAGGTAAAGAGACAGAGAGACAGACTTATAATTCAAGCATAAAACATTTTCATTAAAGTGGTGTCGACATTAAAACCAATTCGCTTCCGATAAAAATACACTGATGGGCCTTTTCACAAAGAGCATCAGTATTTGGTTCCCAAATACTTCTACTGTTAAACAACTAACATCCTGGCCATAAATCAGTGGGGAGAATAGGCGGAGGGTTGCTCCTAAAGTCAATTATTATTTCCTTTTTTTGACACATTTATTATTTATTTTCCAAGAAGGTTGTGTTTGCACCAGTCACTGAATTCATCAACCACCAGTTTCATCATTCTTGAGCAAAGACAGAATGATGGAATCATCTGCAAACTTGATCATATGTCTGCCCTCAAGATGACACACTGTCTCTCACCTGTTGGGACCTGTCAGTTAAAAGGTCAACCAGCCAACATAGTAGTCCAGGGTCTGTGTTGTGAATGCTGGTAAAGCTCTCTTCTAAGAAACTGAGTTGAGTTGGATACAGTTGAAGGCAGACAGAGTGATTTTGGTGCTTTGACCTTGGGCACAGGTACACACACAGAATCCTAAGATGAGGGACCTCATGGGCAGGACTTTTGCTCTCCTTCACTCTCCTGAAGAGTTTACACACCGTATCTCTATCAACATGTATCTCATTCTGCTCTGTGAAAGCATTTCTATACTCAGAAAGTTCCTTGCTAAAATCATGAGTATTTAAACAGTTATAGAAAGAGTTTAGGTCATTAGCAACTTCAGAGTCGGTCTTATTGGCAAAGGAAATGGGACGTTTCTTAGGCTGCATGCCAAGGTGTAAAAATGTTGTAAAACAGGAGCCCAACACATATATTCAGGTTTAGGAGCTTTAAGCTTTGGAAGCAGGATGTTCCAAGACACAGATGACGTTGGCCCTTTAGGCCAGAGTTGTGGTTTGATTGAATTGAACTAAAAGATGACTCAGTTTCCCAAGTGTTTAGCTACCGGGGTTGTACCACTAGGTGGCAGTCTTAGATCATCTATTATTTGGAGGGAGGCACTCGCTGACAAGCTGTTGGTTATGGGATTTCTGTGTGTCTTGGTTTTCAGATGATCTGTGATGAAATGTTTTTATTGCTTTTTATTAAATGCACAATGTATGATTTACAACAGCAACCATCCACATATGTCAATGTGAATGTTATCACAAATGTTAAAGTTTGAGTTTCTGTAGCTTCTGCTCTTTGTCTCTTTAGTCATGATGGGTATCAGTGCTCATGATGACAACCCAGTCTGCCTGCTTGTTCCATAGAAACATAAAATGAAGGACCTCATCCAGCTGACGACTTGACACCCTACCAGACACTGAGTGTCTAAAGGCTTTCATGAACTGACTCCAGCGCTGTGTTACATCAAGTAGCAGCACATATTAGCAGACAAACATTTCTTATTCTTTACCAACAGCTGAAAAAGTGCTTTAATCATCTCTTTACAACCTGTGTGCACGGCCTAAAAGATAAACACTCCCACAAACACCCTGCCAATTTTCCACACACAGGTCACTGTGAAAACAGTGGTGTAATGCCTGCTGTGGCCCTTGGAGGAGTTTCGTGACGTAGCTAGAAAATAGCCCCGATGCTGTCAACAGGTTTTATTTACTGGAGGTGTGGAGTTAAAATGTGAGCATTTGCCAGAGAGGGAGGGTCTAACAAGAAGATGCCATTGCTTGGTGAGAAAACAATCCTCTTGGAATGTCCATTTGTTAACTGATCTGGAACTTTCTGTCACATCACATGATCTTCATCATGTGAAGGAGTTTGTCCTGTTGTCCTAGAATTATAGGTTAATTTTCTGAGCACTATGAGGACTTCTCATCCGTGTTCCATTATGGGAAATGTATGATCCAGTGTTTTGGTTCCTTCTAGGGACTTAAAGTCAGTGCAAGTGTATTTTGGGGGGAGCCACAGTTGATAAGACAAATGCCTTTTGTGTGAGAGATCCAGGTTCAGATCCCCACTGTGACACATCTACTATTGTGTCCCTGAGCAAGACCCTAGTTGCTCTGACATATGTAGCAATTGTAAGTCGCTTTGGATAAAAGCGTCAGCTAAATGAAATGAATAAATCTAATGTGTATTGGATTAAAATTGCCTTTAAACATACATGAATTGTATTTTCCGCATCTGCATGGGTGCGAGGGTATGTGTGATGTAAAATCTGTCATTTGCCCACATGCCAACTACATGTGTGAAAATGTCTGTGCAGCCAGCCAGTGTAGTCCAAACTGCGCGTGTCTGAGTAGATCTGGCCCTTGACTTCGCACTGTTAGAGAGCAGGCTCAGGATGACACTCTGCATTTTGTGGATGACTTTTTGCTCTTTTAAATTCAGCAGCTTTACTTCTTAAATTAACTCAATATTAATTAGCCTACTTAACAGAAGAACTTCAGCGGAATATGGGATTGTCTGTTGTTATTTATTAGTGAACTGACTTGCTGCTATGAAGACAGTACACTGCGACAGCACCAAATCACCTGGCAGTGAGAACCTTTAACATTTGGCTTCAGATGATATATGTTCCCCCATCATACCTAATACAATACTATCTGCTGCAGTAAGCCATATATGTCTGAGTGTGTGGCAGCATCTGGACTGAATCTACTCTCACTGATGCTGGTCACTGTTCCCTAACACCCCTTAATCCATGCAGAGATGACACAACACACACATTCATGCTCACACACCTACACAGACTTAGAACTACATACCCACATAGACAAAGACACGCATTTTAGCGACAGAC